GGAAACAGGTGGAGATGGAGGGCGAAGAAAGGATAATTGCACTAGGAAATGAGCAATTTTCTCTTCTTTCCTAAAGTCCGAGGTTTATGCAGAACGGGACTAACTACGAAGCTGAGAGTCATTCTATGGAAAGAGCAAAGATAAAAGATTATAATAATTGATGAAGTATGTATGGGTCCTGATGATCTTGAAATGATCTCAGAAGAGCAGGTTTCCCAACTTACCGGGTTTCGCCCACCCACGCGGTCAACTTCGAGCTCAAATATCTCGATTCCTGTGAAAGATATCAAACATTTGTTGCTTAAAGGAGGCCAGACACCAAAAAAAAAGTTTTCCTGATACTTTGCCTAGAGAACCCCCCATGAGGAGTTGAACTCATGCAGGACAGCTCAGGGGTAGAGCACCGCTACCGGCTGAGCTACGGGGCCGCGAAAGCGCCTGTCGACCGATGGCCTACAAAAGCGCAGTGCGATTTCGTCCCCCAAACTGTCCCTCAAAATTTTTGCTGTCTGGCCTCCTTTAATAAAATATTGGTGATATTAAGATACACTTTTTATCAGTTGACAAAATGTTGATATCTTTAACTGGAATCGAGATAATTGAGCTCAAACTTGACTGGTAGGATGAACTACTCTTCGAAGGTCCGAGTTTTAATTTTCGAAATTCTGAACTAGACTAGTTCAAAATGTTAAGCTCTTCTCGAAGCACTTTTCGTTCTTTTTCAAAACCAGCTCATCCTGCAAAATAGTGTAAATCAGCTCAGGTTAATGTCATCTGTCTCTTTTCGTTTTCGTCCTCTTTTTCTTTTTTTGAAACTCCTTGTTTTATTTTTGGATTTCCATGTTAGTTTCTTTTTCTTCTTGCCTTCACAACTTCTTTTTCTTCTTCGCTCTTTTTCGTTTTCCGGAGAAGGGCCATCCAACCAAATAAGCGTCATTTTTATAGAAACGAAGCCAACGGAAAAGATAGTGAACTTCTTTCTTGGTGAATCATGATTTCTTTTTTCTTTCTTGTGAAAACTGAGGAACGGAAAAAGGCGAGGGAGAAAAAGCTATAATTTAATCAAAAATCCTCCGGAAACTTCTTTTTTCTCAGTCTTTTTTTGTGGGGAACCTTGTGATTTCCAACTTTCAGAGTATTAGAGAAAGAGAAGAAAGATACAGTAACGAGAATCTCATTAGCTCACTGATCTCTCGAATCCAAAATCCCGAATCCATCTGAATACATTAATCTTATCCCTTCCTCGAAAAAAAAAACAAAACAACTCCTCAAATTCTGTATAATTAAATTGTGAGAAAAAGAACAAAAACACGAAAAAAGAGGAAGACAAGAAAATTATGTACATGGGATTTTCGTTTGGGATTTTCTCATCACTCATATCTTCGTTTTTGTGTTCCGTGAGGAGTCCGAGAAGAAACAGCGACAAAATGTGAAATTGAAAAATTGGTTGAGAGTCGGAAGAAAAAAGGGGACTTCTGTCCTCTTTGCCCTCATATATGAAAGATTGAAATTCGAGGAGCCAAAAGAAGGAGACAAAAAAGCAAAAATGAGTGAAAACTGAGAAGTTTTCGTGGGATGGAAAACGAACAAAAAGGCACGGTGTGTGTCAGGAAGATATGCCGGGAAATGATGTGATGAGATATTAAAAGAGGGGGTTTGAAGAATTTGAAATGACACATTTTTACTGTCTTTGAACATAAATTCTATTTCTTTTTCCTCTAATTGTTCATAAAATATGGCTTCTTCTAGAACAACACCCAAATAGCGTTACTTTGGTGTTGCTTAGTTGTCTGCGTCACTATCCTAAGAACCAATAAAGTTGTTTTTTCCTAAGAACCAATAAACTACCATAAAGTTGCAAACTACAAAAATTGAGTTTACAAAATTTACTACATTTCGGTAAAAAAGTTTTAAATTTTAAATTTCTGGAACTTGAGATAAAAGATGTTGAAAACATGGAAAAAAATTGGTCCCATTTCAAAAAACTATGCTTTATCTCAGAAAATTAATAAAACCAGCTAAAGTTTGACAACTACAAAAATGGTTAACATAAAATTTACCATGTTTTGGTAGTTTACTATATTCTGATGGCTTTGTTCATTTTTGAGATATTTGCCTTCAAAGTTGGAGGAGCGCAGAAAAGCGGGACACCCTAGCTGTCTGCGTCTTTATCTCAAGATCCGTTACTGTTATCAAAAAGTGACAAACTACAAAGACAGAGTTTATGAAATGTCCTATATTTTCCTTAAAAACCTGTTTTTCTAGCATTTTTGGAACTCGAGTTATGGAGACTTGAAGACAAACTTTCGTATTTCTGCCAGGAATTGTTCAACCCCTATCCTAACTATTAGGTTGGCGGGAAAGTCTTTGTCACTTTTTCAATAGTTTATTTCTCAAAGAAAAAATAACCGAATAATTAATTATATTGTCCATCATTATCAACAACATGTCTCCAACGTTCCCTCAATTTATGGATTCCATTGCGGTAGAATCCAGCCGGGCGTGAGGCAAAGTATTGTTTGAGTGCCGCTTCGACCGCTCCACGGGAATTGAAGCTTCTTCCTTCGAAGGCACGTGTCATATCGCCAAATAACCAATAGTCGGAAGGAGCAAGATCAGGAGAATACGGGGGGTGAGGGAGAACATTCCATCCATATCCCATCAGCTCCTGCTTCACTTGTTTCGAAACATGTGGGCGAGCGTTATCATGTTGATAGTACACTTTCTTGTCTTTCAGGGCCGAACGGTCGACTGCTTTCTTGAGGTTTCGTAGTTGAGTAGTGTAGAGGTCTCCAGTTATTGTTTTGCCCTCGGGCAGAAGTTCCCAGTAGATGGGGCCGTCCACTCCCCACCACACAGAGAGCATAACTTTTTTCGGATGAAGGTCGGGTTTGGGGACATCCTGTGGGCTCTCTCCTTCTCCAACCCACTGGGATTTCCTGTGGTGATTATCGTAGAAGACCCACTTCTCATCTCCGGTTATTAGCCGGTCCAGCCATCGATCGCCCGCGTGGAGAGTGAGAAGAGTAATCGAATCGTCGACTCGGCGGTCAAGGTTGGCTTGAGTCAGGTGATGACGTATGAATCGACCAAAAAGTTTTCTCATTCCAAGAGACTTCAAACCTTCAAGGACTGTGCTATGGTGAACTCCGAATGTGACAGCTAGTTCACGGCTAGATTGAAATGGATCCGATTGCAATGCGTGCTTCAGCTTGTCCAAATCCAACTCACGGGGTCTCCCAGAGCGATCCTTTTCATCGAGCGAGAAGTCATCTTTTTCGAAACGATGGAACCAATTGCGAATAGTATTGTAGTGAGGGGCATGTGTGTTGTACACATTCTTCAAGAAAGTTTCCGAATCCTTCATCGTGGTGTGAGATAGGAAGAGGTAAATCAAAACATGTCTGATGTGAATAGCAGTGGGAACAAACATATCGTTTCAATTACAGATGAGGAGCAGGGAAGGAAATGGGGACTTGTTTATATGGAAGGTTCTTATCACCTTGTTATTCACTAGAGTCGATATCATACACAGCCTCCATATACGAGAACAGTGATTAAACAAACAGAGTGACAAAGACTTTCCCGCCAACCTAATATCTGAAGAATTGCTTAGCAGAGATTTGATTTTACTAGTTCATGAATTATTTGAACTTTCCTATTGAGTATGTTCACTTTTGACTGGTCTAGATTTCGACTTTCGTACTTCTTGATTCCTATGTCCTTTTTTCCTTCACATCACTTTGTTCTTCCAACATTACATGGATTATGTCATCAATTTGTATTAGAATTCAAATCTAAAGTGTCACTTCCAACAATTCTCTTTCTCTTGTTTTTGTCTTCTGTTTCTTTTTTCCTTTCTACCCATTGTCTTCTTCCTAAAAACAACATTTGCAATTGACACAATTTCCCCGCTACAAAAATAGTTTATCAAATCGAGAGGGTACCAGAGAAGAACTTTGAGCACTCATTCAATTAAGGAAGGGTTTTCTGAAGCTCTTTCGCCTTCAAAAAAGGATCCGGGGACCTTTCGAAATTTTGAGAACAAATGGATTGAAATAGTATGTGAGAGGCAAGAGGATTGGGAGAACATTGAAAAAGAAAAATGGGGCCCATCAAGAGATTGAAATCAATTTTTGCAGAAACATTGGCCATCAAATTGCCGTTTCCGTCCGACGTCTTCTTAAATCGCCGAGGAATAGTGTGTCAAAGATAAGACTGAATGGAAACTCAAGAGGAACTTCTTATGGGACGCCTGAGTTGAAGTAGGTCAAGTGACCAGTTGAAAAAATGCACAAAAGGGTCCATGAATTTAAATAAACTAGGTTCAATTTCGAGAAATATTTCTTTTATAAAAATGTTTATCATAGAAATAGTTACAGGCCGTATGATTACTTTAAATTAATATCTAAATTTTGAACTTTCAGCACTCCTGATTCATCTCGCAGCGTGTCATTCACCGAAGCCATCACTTGGCCATACATCGATGAGGATATCATTGAGGAATAAACTTAATTCCCTTTTGAATCTTTTAATTATCTCATGGAAATCATCGAAGTTTCTTTTTCATGTTTTTTTCTTTTCTATCCCACTAATTCTGAATAGATGTACCGGTTTGTTCCGGTGTTTTCTTCCTGTCCCCTGTTTCCTTGACAACTTGTGTCAAATGACCTTTTCCCTGTCTTCAAGACGTCTTTTTCGTGTAAATAATTTTGG